TATAAAGCCCACAGAGCTGCAGGTGACTGGGTTTTACTACAGTGAGTACAGTATAGGAAATAAATGGATTATTGATCCAGTAAATAGTTTTCTGGGTTTAAATTTTTGCGTTGTCTTCAGCAGCAATGAAGCTCTGTGCATATTTTTCCAATGAACTGAGGATGGATACATGGACAATGCTGTCTTATTTTTTATTAATGGTTCACTCTGTCATTGTGGTTGTTTTGAATGTGTAAACTTTGCCATGATGCTCTCAGTGACTGTAGGAATTCACATATAAACAATATAATTGCTGCACTTTACTCCAATTTAGTAAATGTTGTGTAAATCTGAATTAAAATGGCTTTGGAGAACTTCTACAAAGAGTCATAAAGTTTATTTATGAAGTAGCAAAGCTCTACAGGCCAAGGTGGTCCCTGGTTGGAATCGTGGTCTGTGTTGAGTTAGCTGGTCCCATCCAATAATAATAATAATAATTATCCTTGCATTTGATATAGCATCTTATCACGTCTTCAAGACGTTTCAAAGAGCTTGACAGATTATACTGTAAATTGAATTGACTGTATATTTTGTGGGCAAAACATGGCAACCAATTGTTCACATCAGTGTCCCACAAACAGTTGTGTCCAAATTGTTATTTTTTGGCAGGATTATTATCTCCATAAAAGCTATCCAACAATCGACTAACAACCGGGTTCCTACTTAATACTTGGTATAAACAGAGATGTGTGGGGTAAGGAAACTTGCCTAAAGTTTCACCCTGCCCAGGAAGCAAACCCAGGTCCTCTCGTTTGCGAGGCGAGTGCTCTAACGGATACGCTACAGGACTCCACAGTGACTGGTCTTCCCCTTCAATGTATCAATATGAATGTTACAAATATGAACTCCAAGGTGACATGCCTGGCAATGGAGTGTCAGAATCGAGCCCGGCCTCTGTGGCGGTCTCGCTAGTCCGGTTTCTGAGCCAGGCAGGTCCACTGCTGGCAGCACAGCAGCCTGGCACATCTGCAGGCTTGAAGGGACAGAAGTCACTGGGGGCAAAGCTCTTCCTATTCAGCTCCTACACGCCTTGGAGCTGAGTAGCTTACTGATACTAACTAAAATCCAATCTACTCTAATCACTAAATACAGCAATCCTTCCCTCTAAATCGTTATAACAGAACATCATTGTAAAGACAAGCTGAAAAAGACCAAAATTCAAACATTAAACTACAGCCGTTGAACGTGAGAGACGTGCTGGGGGAGGGTGGGGGAATGGGCAACAGAATTGGTTAAAATTAGGGAACAGAATTTGTCTGAATTTCTGTTGGCCTAGTCATTCCTGAACCAGCTCCAAACAATCTACAGTTTCCAGCTGCAATAACTGGATAGTTACAAAACCTTGTTTGGCTATTATACCCCCCAACCCTCTATCTCCCTCCCCGCCCCCCCACCACCCTCACTACTGCTGCTCTGGCCAATACTCTTCTACCAGGCCATTGGGCGAAGCTGAGATCTTGTGAATCTTGGGCTCTGACAAGGATCAAGCAGCCGAGAATGTCCACAACTGTGTGTGACATTCACACTCTCTTCATATCCCTGACTCAAGGTATCTGCTGCCTCTATGTGAATGTTCAAAACCTTTAGCTACAGTTAATGTGTGCCAAGCAGAGAGCACCGTACAGTAAATGTGCCTCGGGCTCTGAAGGGAGTAACAGTCCATATTCTAAATCACAAATGTTTAAAACCTAGCATCTGAAATTGATAGATACATTGTGTATTATCTGTATGCGAGTACTAGCTCCTATAAGTCATATTAAAGTCGCTTGAAATGAACGAGGAAAGAGATGACTGGTGGAGTGCTCAGGGCCTTCATTGTTATTTATTAAATAAATAAAACCTATAACTTGACGTTCTGCATATTGGGTTATTTTATAAAACATTCAGTGCAGTTAATGAATTCCTGGTTGGTCATGCATTATTTATTCTACCTAAAAATATAGTATGTGGAACGGTGTAATGCTCAGTTTATTCTGTTCACATACAGAAATACAGTCACTACACTTCACTGTGAATCCTTTTGACACTTGCTCTTCACGTGAAAGGCTATTATCAAATAGAACCATACAAATTTACAGCACAGAAAATGACCATTCGGCCCATCGTGTCCGTGACTCCCTCAACAGCAATCCTTTCAGGCCTTACACTAACCTGTCCTTTCCTCCATGTCCCTGAGGCTGACTCTTTTTAAGGTATTTGTCTAATTCCCTCTTGAAGCCAATATGGATTCTGCCACAACCATTGCTCCCGGCAGGGCATTCTATATCCTAACTACTCTGTGTGAAAACAAATTCTCCTAACTTCCCCTTTGTTCCAGAAAAAAAATCCCATCTTCTGCAATCTTTGCTCATAAGCCAAACCACTCGTCCTCGGTATCATCCCTGTCAATCTTCTCTGCACCCTCTCTATCACATTGACATCTTTCCTAAAGTGTGGTGACCAATACTGAACACAACAGTTGTCTAACTAATGATTTATGTAAGTTTAGGATTACCTCTTTGCTTTTATATTTGAAACCCTATAAAACCTAACATTTCATTAGCTATTTTGACAACTTTCTCAACTTGCCTTTCCACCTTTAAGGATGTATGTACATTAACTCCCTAAAGTCTCTTTAGTCTTCTATTCCTTTTAATATTTTATCACCCAACATATGGGTTCTCCTTATTCTTATCTCCTTATTCCCAAAATATATAACCTCGCATTTGGGTCTGTATTAAATTGCAATTGCCATTTCTCTGCCCAATCAACTAAATAGTTGCTTACAATCTTCTTCATTGTCAATTACATTTCCTATTTTCATGTCATCTGGAAACTTAGAAATTGCGCTCCTTATACCAGAATCCAGATCATTTATAAATGGAGAAAAGCAATTGTCTTAACATTGACCCCTGGGTAACACCACTATTTACATCTCTCCATTGCACATATAACAACCTTGGTGTCCCGCTCTGTGTCCTATGCTTTAATCATCTTTCTATCCATGCTGCTACCCTCCATTTATAAAATGTGCCTTTTTTTTAACAAGCCTCCTATGCAGCACCTTATTAAAAAACTTTCTGAAAATTCTGAAGGTTATGTACAACATCCACAGCATGATTTGATTCATTAATTCATCCATATTGATTCATCTATTTTCTTGGTTACTTTGTGAAAAAAAATTGTCAAGCGGGACTTACCTTTAACAAATCCACGCTGACTGTTTTTAATCAACGCATGTCTTTTCAAGTATTTATTAATATTATCGCATATTATAGCCTCTAACAGTTTGCCTGCTATGGGTGTTAGATTGACCGATCTATAATTACTCCTGTTCTCCAATTTTAAACAGAGGTGTTACATTAGCTACCCTCCAGGCTCCTGGCACAACTTTTAATTTCAAGGATGTTCAAAAAATTGTAGTCAGAGTATCTATTATTTCCTCCCTGGTTATCACTTCTCTTTGCTGCACATCCTCCTCTTGTACACTCAGTGTCTCACAACCACTCTCTGCTGTAAAAACTGAGGTGATAGTTTGTAAAATCTACTCATTAAGTATCTCTGCCAAACCTTCATTTTCTATGACTAGATTTCTCTTTTGATGAGGAATGCAAGAATTTTTATTACTGCTCAGCAAAATCTGCTAACTTGTATTTATAATAACTTCCTTTTGATTGTCATTTTCTTCCCTATGATTGAGTGACATGGATACAGCTTGGTTACTGCTCTACCATTCTCTGTATGAGTGTGTGAGGCTCCACCTGGAGTGAAAGCAGGTTATTGTATTGAGCAGCAGACCCTCACCACCAATCTGTCTTCACTGACTTTCACAAATGTGCACTTTCCTGTAGAATATCGCCACCTAGAGATGAGAAGGACAATTGTATTGTGCCCCACCTCCCTGGCTGAGATAAACTAGCAGTCTAGACGATGAATTGAACCTTGGTTGTGTCTGATCCATAGGGCTCAATATTGTTAGTTATTGAACTCATAGTCTACACTGTGAGACATTGCAGTACAGTACTAAGGGAGCGCTGCATTGCTGGAGGTGTTAAAATCAATGTCCCATGTGTCTGTTCTGACAGCTCATACGAATTGTAAAGATCCCAGGTACAATTTTGAAGAGCAGGATGTCCTTCCTCTTAATGTACTGGCCAATATTCCTCCCTCAGGTGGTATAGATCACAAGATAAAATAATAATCCTTGCATTTGATATAGCGCTTTTCATGTTTTTGAGACGTCTCAAAGTGCTTCACAGAATATGCTGTAAAGTGAATTGACGGTATATTTGTGGGCGAAGCGCGGCAGCCAATTGCGCACAGCAGTGTCCCACAAACAGTCATGGATTGAAAATGACCAATTTGTTATTATTTTTTGGAGAGATTATTATCAGGCGTGTGGAGTAAGGAAACGTGCCCAAGGTCTTCGCCCTGTCTGGAATTGAACCCAGGTGTCTCGCTTGCAAGGCGAGTGCTCTAACCACTGAGCTACAGGACTCCAGGAATATACTGTAAAGTGAATTGACTGTATATTTTGTGGGTGAAACGCAGCAGCCAATTGCACACAATGGTGTCCCACAAACAGTTGTGGATTAAATGACCAAATTATAATCTTATTAATTATAAAATATTAATTTGAAAGTGATCCACCAATCGACTAACAACCGGGTTCCTACTTACTGCTAGCTAAAGATTGGTTTGGATGAAGAAGAGCATCCGGCTCATCTATCTGAAATTGCTGTATCTACGTCTCACTGTCTGAAACTGTTGTAAGTGCAGAAGAAAGGAATATAGGGTTTGGGAGAGCAGATTAGGAGGGTGGAGTATAAACACCAGCACACACTAGTTGGCCTGTATCTGCACTGTAACCTTCCAAAGAGTCCTGTGTAATTCTGTGTAATAATTCTCATTGCCTGAAACTGCTCACTCTAATTCAATCACTCTAATTTTAAACCCGTTTTGTGCGACCTTTATTTTTCTAGCTCTGTCTGGAAAACTCAACAAGTTTCCCATCTTTGATGGTCAATTGAAGGAGCTGTGCACGAGCGCTGTGAGTGCTAACACCACCAAGGCCACACTGTACTCACTAAACGTCTGGAGGTACTGGTGTGTGACGCGGGAACTGAAGCAGTTCATGGACATTACAAAGGTATGTGATCGGAAGACCGGTTTCCCATCGTCAGCAATGATACCATTTCAGTTTGTGAGTTCTGGCTTTGGTGATATTCTGCATTCTTAAAGTTGCTGTGACATCCTGCAAAACATGTCTTATAGCTGCCCGTCCAGTGTGAGATTGGATCCTACTGCCTAAGAATGTCCCAGGTTTGATTCCTGAGAGATTTTGCCAAATTCGCTGTGACAGTAGTCCCTTGCCACCCCCCCCCCCCACCGCCCTCCCACCCGCCACCCTCAAGACCCAACTCAAGACTTGCCTCGACCGTCCCTTTCAGTCCCCCTCCTTCCCCCACCCTCCCTGCCCTCCACCCCTCCTGATCCTAATTCCCAGCTCGGGTTCACATCCTGGACTATCCAGCGCTTTGGGACGTCCTCCCGATGTGAAAGGTGCTATACAAATGCAATGTGTTGTTGTAGGGGAGCCTAAGCTCTGTCCTGTGTGTCAGGGAAGGTAATAGCAAATAGTTACAATACTCCAATAACTAATCTGAACAATTACGATATTGCCACTCAGTCACCAACAATGTCACCTGCATCTGTGACCAACAATAATTGACATTTATATATAGCGTCTTTCACATTGGAAAGACATTGCAAACCACTTCACATAATACACTTTACGTCACATCCCCCAGAAGATCAAAATCAAGATTTACATCTTCACATACAAATGCCTCTGTGGCCTCACCCTACCTCTACAACATCCTACGACTTATTGCCGATGAGTGAAAGCAAATGGAATATCACCTGTATAGAAATTACTCTGTATTTGTAGGCAAATCCATCAAGACAGCAGAACAAGAGGACACAAGTTTAGTATTGCAAGGAACAATCATGGAGTCCTGTAGAGCTAGTGGTTGTGGGTTCCTGTAGCTTAGTGGTTAGAGTGTTGTGAGAGGACCAGGGTTCAATTCCTGGGCGGGGTGAAACGGTGGTCAGGTTTCCTTACTCCACACCCCTGTTTACGTAGCAGTAAGTAGAAACCAGGTTATTAATCAATTGGCGATTAATTGCTTAATTAATCGATTGTTTGTCTCAGTGTAATAATCTCTTCAAAATATAATAGTAAGAATAGTAATTTGGTTACTCAATCCTCGATTGTTTGTGGGACACTGCTGTGCACAATTGGCTATCGCGTTTCGCTCACAAAATACACAATCAATTCGCTTTACAGAATTGAGACGTCTCAAGACTTGATAACACAATATATCAAATGGAAGCATTGTTATTTATTATTATTTCAAGGCAGAAACCAGGAAGTATTTCTTTGTCCAGAAACAGACTGGAACAAGTTACCAGGAAAGGTGGTTGAAGCCAGGACATCAGACTCTTTTAAGAAACAGTTTAATTATTTTTATTAACATTTTCTCACGCTCTCTTTCTCCCTCTTTCTAAGATTCCGCCCTTGAAGCTCAATGAGCTGCTGGAGGACTTCTACGTGACAGTTAGGAAAACGGACGGTTCGGATTTCCTGGCGACCTCGCTGCACGCCATCCGGCGCGGGCTGGACCGGGTGCTGAAGAACGCCAATGTGGGCTTTTCTGTTGGGGACGGCACCTTCAAGTCCTCCAGCCAGAAGCTGAAGGAGAAGCTGCGGATGCTCAACAAAGCCGGCATGTCGGGCTCCCGGTCGCGCAACATCATCTACTTCTCTGGCCTGGATGAGGAGGAGATGTGGAGGGCAGGCTACCTCGGCGACTCCAACCCGGTGGCTTTGCTGAGCGTGGTGGTAAAGTTCAACAGCCAGTACTTCAACATGAGAACCCTGCAGGAGCACGTGGATCTGACGTATGGGGACATTGAGCTGATGAAGGATGCGGAGAACAGGCCTTTCTTTGCCCGAACTGATATGGTCAAAAGGGAGAACAAAGTCTGCGGCAACAAGCTGTTCTTTGGGCAGATCTACCATGAGCACTCGGAGGGGCTCAAACGATGTCCTTATTGCCTGCTGTACAAGTACATGTACGCTCACAGGCCCCTCTCCCACAGGGAGCCCAAGTCCCCCTTCTACTTGGTGGCCAGGAAGGATTTCTCGCAGCTGGACAGCGTGTGGTTTGAGGAGCAGAGGATGGGGCTGAGGTCCCTCAGGGCCGTGGTCCCCAAACTGGCCAAAAAGGTCAGGCTGGAGCAGAGCGAGAATTTCACCTTTGTATCCTTCACCCAGGCATCGCTTCTCAAACCAGGAAAGTTCCTTTCTGTCAATAGCTGAAGTCGTTTGATCATGTTTTGAAAATGAGACGTAGCCAAGGAAAACACTGAATGTGGAGGATAGGTAGAAAAACCCTGGTACAAGATGTGCTTTTGGTGGAAGGGGGCAGTCATCACTCATCCGTAACCCATTTATTACAGCATTTTCAATTCAATTTGGGATTGGGTCAAGCTACACACATGTTGACCTGTGGAAAAACAGACCTTCTATGATATCCATAGCTGCAGATTATACATTGGCGCTGAAGAGCCTTGTGGACCCAGAAAACACCTCCTTCTACCCAGTACACCCTCAATAATTTATTATAAACTTATTATATTTTCAGTTGGATGCTACTGCACATCTCAAAAGAGGTTGACCTCTTTTTAATTGGGAACAGGGAATCATCCCACTCAGCTCCTGTTAACCCTGCAAACCAAAGCCCTAATAGGTAGGGTGGTCCTAGCTGGACAAGCAGCAGGAAAGTTTGCCAGAGATATCAATGGCAAGCTATGCAGTTTTAACTGGTTAGGCTCCTAACACACACTCTGGGGTCCACAAGTCTTGGCTCTCACTACCCTGTGCCTAATACTCTCCAGAACTAGGTAAGCAGGAGGGCTTCCCCCAGGGAGAGAGTGTGCATTCCAATACAGTCTGGTTTGGATACTTTTTTGAGTTTAGTGATGGGTTTCCACATGCGTCAAGACACCTGAACGACCAAATAAACATTTAAACTGAATTGTTCCCTCTCCTGTACTTACAGCACTGACTGTATTCCTGCTCTTTGACCTTGTGATCAGTTGCTAGTGGGTGTGCACACAGTTGCTCTGTGTAACAGCAGAGGAGTCGAAGACTGGGTTGTTGAAGAAAGAATGGATCAATAATCACTGCCACTTTCCTCTCAAAGTTTTAGGAGCCTTTTACAAAAGATGGACCCGTGCTAAACACTGGCAGGTCTGAGTCACCACTGTAAGTCTGTGTGGGGTTCAGCACCAACTGTCAAGGAGGGAGGGGTGTTGCTCATCATTTGCCTTTGAGCTCGTGGGAAATTCTCTTTTCTCCCGTCAGACTTTGTGAAATTAAGTATGGATCTCATTGGGTCACTGGGATCACATTATACAAAATTCAGAAATAAAGTGGTGTAAACAGACCAGCTCAGCAGTCTCTGTGTTTTCTGTTTTCTACACCAGATTTTTTAGATTACTGTTTTAATCCTTGCACTGATGCCACACTCTGTTAATACTTTATTAAGGAGCATTCTGTAAAAAGTAACAGATTGCTAACCTGTTTTCCCCTTCACTAAACTCAGCTTTCACGTTGACTGATCAACATTTGCTGAGGGTTAACCAGGGAATATCACATGATCCAACAAGCGAGTGACCATAAAACACACAGTCACTACAACAACAAGATTACATTTGTATAGCGCCTTTCACGTCGGGTGGAGCACTACACTTTACAGTATATTCTGTGAAGCACTTGAGATGTCTCAACGACGTGATAAGGTGCTATATCAAATGCAAGGATTGTTATTATGAAACTGACACAAATTAGCTTTGCACAACTTCTGCAACTGTGATGTGCTCATTGTTCACATTAATGTTGTTGATCAAAATGATTTTAAGAAATCATTCATTACACTCTCAATTATACATTAGAAAAATTCTCACCCCTACAACTCCATCTTTTTAGAAGCAGAAGCAAAAATGTGTTTGAATTTAATTGCAACCAAATTTTATGGGATAATCGTTTCCAAGCAGACACTGAATTATCCACTGTCTATCTGTCTAATCTCCGGTCTCTAACGAGTAATGTCTACAAATTGATGCCGAACCAGCTAACTATGGTATATTTCACCAAACTGCACAATTGATTTCCACATCTCTCTCCCTTGGAATTAGTTCCTTCTAGAAATAAGCCCATTGTGATCCAAGCTGAAAAAAGAATTAGTTACTCAATCCACAACTGTTTGTGCAATTAGCTGCCATGTTTATTGAAACGTATACAAATCAGTAAGTGTTTAATCCATTATTTCGCATCTCACTGATAAGGTGTGTGTCAGACGAGCAATGATATATTATATGTCATTGGAGGTATTGTTTTTGTAACAGTCTTTGGTGCACTTTATATCTATATATATATATATAGTCATGCAATGCACTGTACCTGCTGACATGTGTACCAATTCATTGACCAGCATGGAGAAGTTTGCCCTGCTGGCTGAAAACCTGTGAAGGACACAATCAAGTCTGACGTGAAAGATAGCAAAGAATACTGTAAGAATTCTCCTCACTCTGTGGCAACTCTGCTCTGGGGCACATCAGCCCAGAGATCAGTTCCCACGTTTCCTGTTATTGGAAAGAGGCCTCAACAAATATCACAAATTGCACTCCACCTAAACCTTTTAAATGCACTGCCCAATCAATTCATAGGCACCTGGTGGGGAGGGCAGGGTGGGGTGCATGGAGCATGGAGCAGGTCAAAGCCTGCTGAGCGGAGAGGTTGAGAACGGGTTAGCATGTCATTTGCCACTTTGAGGAGTGGAGCCGGGCGAGGGTGGAGGTAATGGGGTCATGGAACCTGGTGCGGGAGAGGACAAGAGCTTCAGAGTTCTGGATGATCTAAAGCTTGTGGAGGGTAGAGTTGGGGAGGCCGACTAGGAGAGAATTGGAGTAGTCGAACCTAGATGTGATGAACGCGTGAATGGGTGTTTTGGTGGCCTGAGGGGTGAGGCAGTGGCGGAGCTGGGCCATGCTGCGGGTGGGGGAAAGCAAAGCGGGTCATGGCAGGGATTTGGTGTAGAAAGGACAGTTGAGGGTCAAGCAAGATGCCAAGGTTCCAGACTGGCTCGGTGAGGTGGAGTGTGCATCCCTGGGTGGTGCTGCTGCCAGTGCTTGAGGAACACCGTACAAGACGGTGCGGGGGCTGCTTATGGAGACAAAGTGGGGATGGTGTGAAACCATTCAAGGACAGAACCATGAAGGTTGAGGTAAAGCGGTGGGGGAGGATATAGTGGTCAACTGTATCAAAAGCATCAGTGAGGTCAAGGAGGACGAGAAGGCAGAGGGAGCCCTGGTCACAGATGGACAGAATGTCATTTGTCACTTTGACCAGGGCTGTTTCTGTGCTGTGGGCAGCACAGAAACCCGATTGGAGGGGTTTGTGAGGGAGTGGCAGGAGAGGAAAGAGCAAAGCTGGGAAGCAACAACTCGTTCAAGGTGCTTGGAAAATAAAGGGAGATTGGAGATGGGGCAGTATTTGAGAGCAGGGATGGGTCCAGGGAAGGTTTCTTGAGAATAGGGGCGATGACATCCGTTTTTAAGGGAGGGGAACTGAGCCAGTGGACTGGGAGAGGTTGATGATGTCTGTGAGTAGAGGGGCAAGGAGGTGGAGCTGGGAGGTAAGGATGGGGTCGAGGGAGCAGGTGGTGGGTTTCATGTGGGTTATAATGGTGGTGAGAGAGTAGTTGGAGACAGGTTTGAAAGTGTGGAGGGAGGGATGGGTGGGGCTGAAGTGTGAGGGGGAGATGGGGAGGTGGTAGCAGCTGGGAGGGGAGAGATAGTTGAGCAGAACATCTCAATTTTTGTCTCGAAGAAGTCCAGGATCTCCTCTAGTTGGAGTTAGAGGAGAGGATGGGCGAGGTGTGAGAGCTGGTTGGTGGTGCAGAAGAGGAGCCTGGGGTTGTCCTTGGTCTCCGAGATTATCTTAGAATGGAAGGACGATTTAGCGGAGGCGAGGGTAGAGCGGTAAGTTTTGATGTGATCCAGCCAGATCTGCCAATGGACCGTTAAATTAGATTTGAGCCAGATGCATAGGAGGCGGTTTGGGAGATGAGGGTGGCATGGGCATCGAGAGTGGTGGAGAGGGAGTTGTGTAGAAAAGTGACCGAGGAGGATAAGTTGGCGCCGGAGGAAGCCCAGAGGGGGAGGTGTTCAGATGACTCCAGGGCAGCAGAAAGGGAGGGGACAAGATTTTTTTCCTGGGGTGATGGGAGATGGAGGTGGGTTGGGTGCCGGTGGGGAGTGGGATTGAGCAGTTAAGGGAGATTAAGTAGCTACCTGCGTGAAAGGTGCTATATAAATACAAGTTGTTGTTGGTGGTGGTTGTATCTGGTGCGTGAAAACTTCTATCCCTTGAGGGGTTGCATTTCTCCAGAACAGGAAAACAGCGGGACACCATACAGTCTAGTAGAGAAACACATTGAAAGAAGATGCGAAAGTGAAAGAAATATGTTACAAGGGGACATAGAGGTTACAACAATGTTTCTCAGGAAAGTGGTAGCTTTGCTGGTGTCTCACTTTCACAGCGCATTGCAATGTTACAAATATAAGGGATCACATGTTGGCTATCTGTAAAAGGTTGTAGGACATCCTGCTCTGTGGCTTATCTTTCTCTTGAGAGCAACTTTCAACTATCGATCAAACATCATCTCTGTCGCTCTTACACAACAATTGACAACTCATACTGTAAAATGTCCAATTTTTCCAACTCCTGATATCCCAAGCCAGGAGTTGTAATGAAAACACAGCATTAAAGCAAGCAGACAGTGAGAAATGATCAGAGGAGGGTTTAACTTAATGAAATTTCAAAATGTTTGCCACAAAATACAGACCCTACACTATACACTGAATCCCATGTAGCTCATTGAGACACACTAATGCAAAAGTAGCTATTGATGTCCAATCTGTCGCCCCTTGCAAGTCCTTCCAGATCCCACATCTTATTTGCCAGACTGTTTTGCATTAATGCAAGCACAGCTCCATTGCTTTTTGCCTTTCCTATTTGCTTTATTAGCAATTTTCTTTATCTCCCACCAGTGGAGTTAGACCGTTGGTTTATGTATTCACTGCTACACCTCAAGATTTGCCCTAATTGGTTTGGTTGCTCTCTTATATCTACCACAACCACTCTTGTTTCTAGTTTAAACACTCCCTAACCATGCTATTCATCCTGCCTGCCAACACCTCCATCCACCCTTTGTTCAGGTGGTGCCAATCTGGTCTGAATAAGTGCCTCTTATTCCAAAAAATCTGATTCCCTGCACCAATGCCTTAGCCACAAGTAAAGGAGTCAAGCGAGTTATGTGAGCTCAGTTTAAATACCAACTCACCCCCACCCATTATCCCTTGAGCCTGATTTACCGACCACAGCACTGAGTAAGAGCAGAAAGGACCACGGTTTCATGTTGCTGATCTCTGCACTATGTGTTCGGCATCATCGCTGTCTGAGTAACAATTAGTTTACCTAGAAATGTAGGAACCCAGTCGTTAGTCGATTAGTGGATCTGCTTTTCCGCAAGCTGCTGAAGCCCTCATACATGCTTTCATTACATCGAGGCTCAACTTTGCAAACTCATTGCTTGCCGGCCTCCCCAACTCCTCCCTCCAGATCATCCAGAACTCCGTAGCCCATGTCCTCTCCCGCACTAGGC